TAAAAACTATCAGTCAGTATCGTTTGGAAAAACATACTAATGTATTTTAGCTGCGTGGGACTGTTTGGAAGCCCTAACAGAGCTGGGTAGTCAAAACAGACTAACTTTAGCCGGCGTATCAGGCCGCAGAGGATATACGGATAATGAAGAGGTTGATTTATTAACCAGAGAAGGGACCTCCAAGGCTCTTATTGACCCAGAACTCTTCCGTGGCGTCACACAAAGACAGCTCAGAACATGCAAACAACAGTGAATGTTTAAACAATCTCAGGAATGGTGGAAAAACTCACCAGGACAGAGACTGTTCTAAAAGGACCAGCCCCAATACTCACCGAGTATTTACTAAGCCACAATAGAAATATTAGAGTTCTATTAGGTCTATTAACAAGGCATTGTAGGCTTAACATACATATGTATGGCAGAAGAGATCTTAAGCCGATTCTGCAGTACACGGTTTATGTTACCATGAAGGTCCATCGCTTGATATCCCTTACACTTGGAGAAGTAAAACCAAAGGCAACTAGCTAAGCCAGAGAACTATTTAACTAACCTATGGAGTCTAGTAAAAAGACCAAACTAGACAAGGTACTCTAAACAACGTTTAAAGGATATCCAAAATGTAACTGAAAAGGTCGAGAAGGAGGAGGCATCATGGCTAGCAGTCCTAATTAAATCTACTCGAATTACGTAACGTAGGTACCTAAATCAAAACAAGTCAAATACCAGAAATGTTTACTCTATGAATTTTTAAACATATTGGTAGGTAGAGCTCATTTCAGCCATTTTCGCTCCCATTGTAGTTACAATATGGCCAGGTTAGGTTTAAAATGAATGGGATGATACATCGTGTTCCAATTCGACCCAAATAGATTTATAGTGGACCATGTCTAAGTTATAGTTCATCGTACAAACACCACACATTTAGATAAAAACAACGGTTGAATTAGATGAGCCTTGTTTCAAGTCGTTAGACACCAAAAATCAGAAACCTAGTTCTTTCCAAGAATTAGCAGGTTCATAGAATGTTTGTTGCAAATCTATCCCTCTCATATGTTTACCTAGATGACAGTGTCCAGTCCTGTAAAAAATGTGTAGATCGTTTCTACTCCATCTCAGGATCTGAACAGAATCGTTCATAGAAGGTTTGGGTATAAACGCCTTTGAAAGAGTTTTGTCTCTTTGCAGTTTTTTTTACATTGACTATATCCACCGTTTACAGTAAAGAAAGAAGAGGCGGTAGATCCAGCATAGTCTCCACAAGCTTCCGTTGATGTGGTAGACATTACAATCGTGATGACGCATAAGCACGCCGATTCCAGCCAGCTTTGCTCTGACCGTCCTTTGTAGCCCCTTCCCAGTAAACCACAAATAGTCGGCATTCGTTCGACCTGACACCGGCATGTACAGGAAACCGAGTACTCGGATTGCCGTTGTCGGGGTTTCTTCTGAGCCGAAAGGACTGTACTTCAACGTAATTTAGAAGCAAAAACCGCATATGGTCCATATTTGGCTTTCCAGACATGGGAGGCATTCTTATGGGCCGAACGCGGTGAATATTTGGCTAGCCGGTCATGGGAGGCATCCTTACGGGCCGAATTATATATAGATATATTAACGCGGCTAGAATGGAGTGGGCTGCCGACATTTGGCTGGGCGGACACGCCCTACTTATATGCTGAAGCTCCACCCGTAAATCGGGCCGAGTCCGGCATCCGGCAAGCCTTCTTCGGCCCAGTTACGGTGCTGATTAACTGTGTTTATTGGGTTGTCTCACCAGACAAACGAAAAACGAGTCATACATAACCATAGGTTTTACCACGGTTTGAAAAATATAGCAGATCAGTTTGGACATGCTCTCTTGATAGTTTTATCCCTTTAGGAGTTTCAGGAGAGTTTTTTTATTGAGAAAATATCCCATAATTTCACCTCCTCCTAAAGAGGAATGGTTTTCAATGTAGGAACGATGACAGTTTTCCGGGGTTAACAAACATCTGTTCCCTTTCGGCAAACTGAAGGATGGTGGGAGAATAATACACTTCGTATTTCCTTCTGATTATGATAATTAAATCATCCCCATCAAATTTTAAAATTGGAAGTTTATCCCTTACTGAAATCTTCTAGCAGATTATCTACCAGAATGGTCCGGTGGCAGGCGTGAAGAGAACTCTCTCCATGCAATGATTTAATAATTATGTTCTGGTTTCCATTTATCAGTGGAAGAGAACAGGGACTAAGGAAGAATGTTATTAAATGCATTTTCTTTGTCTAGGAAGACACCCAGTGCAATCTCCCCGATTTTGCATACTATATTCTATATCTGTATTTATAACGCGTGGAGAGAAGGTTGCCCCATGGCACTTAGACCTCACTAGGCCCATTGAGCATTCTTCTAAATTGATAAGCTCCTCTTACAGATTTGATGTAACTGACAACTTACTATCGATTAGTTGCAGTAAATTTTCAGTCAGTCGCAATTGCATAAATTGTAACAGCTGATCGAAAGGACCCAAGAAATTGCTAACTGTAAAGTGGCTCTGAGCGTCAATTAAATATCTGTCAATGTCAGTGTACACGTCTCTTGTTAAATAGTCAAATCAAGATGAAGCTTTTCTGACAGCACAGGATTTTACAAATAATCCGTGCGCAGATTTAATTTCACTCTCGATCAACGGTATCTACAGGGTTATTCATTAAAATTTACCCACCCTTTATCAATGTCATTATACAAAAAAATATTTAAAAGTTATGTGGCCATGACTGAATTTTGTTAGAATATCAAAAACATAGTGGCGTGCATCTTTCGCGGGATTCAATAAAAACTATATATTTTTTGGAATATTTTTTTTCTGATTTCAAAATATACTATTTTCGAATACTTAAACATCGAATATCTTAAGACAAGTACTATTTATATAAGGAAATCAAATGACTCATCAATTATAAGCCCGATTGACTTGAATTTATGTCAACGTAGACACCCACTAAGAAGGGATTTTATGCACATCACATTTTAAGGGTGAAAGGGGAAACGGAGGGGTGAAAGTTATTTCAGGGATTTTGGATTTTTACATTTAAAGAGTAGAAAATAGAGGGTGAATGTTTGTTTTGGAGTATCGATTTATTTTAATGGTAGGAACTTGAAAATTTGAATTGTAGCTACTCATCATAAATAGATAATATTTTAAAGGGGGGAAACGGGGGTGAAAGTTTGTATGGAAGTATCGGTTTTTTAAAGGTAGGAACTTGAAAATTGGATTTGTAGCTACCCATCATAAATAAATAATGACGTATTTCAGGATTTTTACATTTTAAGTGTGGGAACCGGGGGTGTAAAAGTTTGTAGCCGATTTTTTTTAGGAAGTCGTGCATTTTTTTACTTTCCTATCTGTATACAGATATAAGGAAAGTATAGGAATCATGATTTTTTTCGACCTCGAGTTTTTGACGGATTTTTACGTTTTGAGGTCCCCTGAATCCGTTTTGACTATTTTCGCGATGATGTCTGTGTGTGTGTGTGTGTGTGTGTGTGTGTGTGTGTGTGTGTGTGTGTGTGTGTGTGTGTGTGTGTGTCTCTGTGTGTGTGTGTGTGTCTGTATAACGCATAACTCATGAACCGATACACAGAAAAACACCAAATTTTAAACTTAAGCTTTGTTTCAGCGTCCAATGAGCTGATTAGATTTTGGGCAGAGTCGGAACATCTGGGGGGGTACTTTATAGGTGGTCATTTTTATATTTTATGGAATATATCTGTTATTTACGTTTGGAGAAGAAAATTCTTCAAATAAAAGTTACTTCTAATATAATTATCTATAATTTTTGTTTAATGCAAAATTTTCCTAAAATGGTCCGTATTCGAGAAATTTGACAAATAGTAAAAAAAATAATTTTTTATAAAAATTGTTCAAATAAAAGTTGTTTGTAATATAATTTTCTATAATTTTTGTCCTATACATAATTTCTCTAAAATGGACCGTATTCGAGATATTTGAGAAAATGTGTAAATTTCGAAATTTTAAGAAAACTCAAAAACGGATAAAGGAAAAAACATTAAATTTTAAACTTAAGGTTTATTTCGGCCTGACGTGAAATGATTAGATTTTGGACAAAGTCGGAACATCTGGGGGGGTACTTTATGGGAGGCCGTTTTTATATTTTATGGAATATATCTGTTATTTATGTTTGGAGAAGAAAATTGTTTAAATAAAAGTTACTTCTAATATTATTATCTATAATTTTTGTTCTATGTAAAAATTTCCTGAAATGGTCCGTATTCGAGAAATTTGACAAAATGTGCAAAATTCTGATTTTTATGAAAATTGTTGAACTAAAAGTTGTTTGCGATATCGATTTCTATAATTTTTGTTTATATATGATTTTTCTAAAATGGACCGTAATGGAAAAGTGCTAAATTTAAATTTTTCTGTATTTTCGTTTTCAATGAATATCTATAGAAAAATGTTTCGAGGTAGATGTATGTGGAAAATGTATATATTTAGTTTATCCTCTAAACATTTATAGAGATGCTGCAATAGGTTGTACAAAATAACCGGAAAATGCCTATAATACCTAGATAGGAAAGTCATGTGTTGGACACATCAGATTTTTTTTATTAAAAACACGACTCCGCGCGTGCATAGCCGCGGGCCACATCTAGTGTTTAATAAAATCATAAAAAATGGTTTACAATGAATAAAAAATAGTGCAAATATTTATCTAAACATATTCAATATTTAATTAGTCGAAAACGGTATAAGATACAGCTGACTATATATTTAAAATCAGAAAAGAACTGATGATTAAAAATATATATATTATTTTTTGTTGTGCCCCCATGAAATCTGCACATCACTATGTTTTTGATATAATTTTAACAAAATTTGGACATAGCCACACAACTTTTATCTATTTTTGTATCAATGGTATGTAATTTATAATGAATAACCCTGTACAATGGATCGAAAGAATAACCAGGTTGGGTTTTAAATAAATTAACTATAAAAATCAATAAAATTGTATTTTGTAAAAATAAAAATAAATTTACAAAAATTCTACATCAATTATCAATAAATTCACAATAGAGACCAATTTATCAGTCATGGATCTCCATATGGGACACAAATATTTTCTCCTTTTATTTTATTCTAATTAAATTACATAATCACAATAAGATTCATGGGTAAAAAAATCTTTGCAAGAACAATCTTGACTGACAATCTAAAAATATACAATATATATTTTTTCTTTACGGGAATTGAGTAATATTGTTTCAAAAAATTGCAAAACTGATAAATATGTAAATTAATCAAAAAGTTATAATACAGTATGTCCCCCTAAGTTGGAATCAGATGGAAAACTTTTTTTAATTTTAGGAAAAAAAGTTATTCTTCATAAAAAGTTCTGCATTATCTAAAACTCTGAATACAGTCATCAAATATAAAAAATTTTCAGTGGTATACGAGGTATGTCAAAAAATATGAATTTTACTCAAGAGTAAAGTACATTTATTTTTGACAAAATCGAAAATTTTCATTAAGAAAATTGTCAAATTCTTCACAAACATCAAGAAAATGAAAGCGCATCATGTTTATAGTAGAGAAGAGAGAGAGAAAAAATTATGGAGTACTGTAATTAAGTGGATCAATGCAAAATCTAGAAAAAATCTGATTTTTCAGATAGATCGGTATAATTGCATATTTGAATGTAATTTTCAATTCTAATCAACCTTTCTTAATGAAAATTTTCGATTTTATCAAAAATAAACGTACTTTACTCTTGAGCAAAATTCATATTTTTTGACAAACCTCGTATACCACTGAAAAAATTTGATATTTGATGACTGTATTCTAGGTTTTAGATAATGCAGAACTTTTTATGAAGAATAACTTTTTTCCTAAAATTAATAATAAAAAAGTATTCCATATGATTCCAACTTAGGGACACACACTGTATATAATTCTGTTGCAAACTTCAAAGAAACAAATTTAATATTTACCGACAAGTAATTTTATTGGAGAAAAATGGCTCAAATGTTTATAAAAGGTGACCAACGATTTATAAAATACAACTATCTTATAAAAATGTATTTTGATTTTGAAAATTTGAGATATTTCTAAATTTTAATAGTACAGAGTCTTTAACAATACCAGCATCCCACGTGATATTATGACACGTGACTTTTATGACAGCTAATGGTCAATTTTGTCAAATGCGTTAATCGCATTGTATTAAATTGTACATTTAGCTAACTAGGAACTTAAACGTGGTCATCATGGACACAAGTATTGTTAAAGACTCTACAAAAAGAAACAATATCGATATAAATGTATTAACAAATTTATGTTTTTGAAATAACTATACCCAACTTCTAAAATCTCATTGCATTAAAGAATATGTTAGATTTATATTGAAGGGACACAGGAAACGATTTCAACACCAAAAGTTAAGAAGTAAAAGATTGGTGGTCATTGAAGTTCATAGTAAAATGTATCGAATTTCCACAGACACCGCGGCAATATATAAAAAACAAAGTCAAAATTTAATAATAAAACCTAACAACTCTGTTTTATCAACAAAACGGGAAAAATTTTAGATAATAAGACACAGTGATAATTTTTTGATTTTTGTATTATTCATCGCAAAAATATCACACCCACGATATTCACCTACATCTCGAAAAAGAGAAAATATATTAAAATGCAATTTCAACGGTTTCAAAAGGCAGGAAATATTCTACGAAAATCAATATTTTCGAGATCGATTTCTCAATGAGAAAGACTGAAAAACCTTCTAATCAGTAAAGTTAATACAACAGCTAAAGCTACATTTTCGATTTTAAACTAAATACAAATTAAGCTGTAGCTTAATAATTTTTTCTAGTTATTTATATATTTAAAAAAAACACTTTGAAATGCAGCAGAAATAATTTCTCTTGGACAGTATAATCGGGCTTTAAATCTACTTCTTCAGTTTAACATTATTTAATGTATGTCTCAAAAGCAAGTTGAAAATTCATATACAGTACTTTTTTTACCTGTCTGGCACAACCGTGCATTGAGGAAAATGCATGACGGCAAAGAGGTTATCTGTCCTACTAGGGAGGTGGACTCATTTTACAGTAACGACTTAGTTAAAAAAATAGTGAGTCAAACGTTTTACCCGTTTGTAACGTAACATAAATAACAGTGTTAACCTATACCTGATTAAAACCGGCAAAATATAACGATAACATAACTTTAGCTGCCCCTTTTATTCACACTATTTATCCTTCTTAGTAAAATAGGAAATAGAAAATAGATATCCTAGTAATTACAATCCTTAAATGATAATAATAATAAAATAATCACAATTAGGCATTTTCTAGTAAATAGGTACCTTTGATTAGCAAAAAAACCATCTGAGTCGTCCTCGACACCAGATAATTATCTCTAATATCAAAATAATAATAAAAAAATAATTCAACATCTGGCAAGAATATTCTTAGCGTTTCAAAAGAGCTGCAACATTTATATTGACTAAGAATTAAACTATGTCAGTAATAAATTAAAAAACAATTACAAAACCTACAATTATTTCATAATAAAGTTTCTAAATTCTCTATTTACAATTATCTACAAGGAATTTTGATATTATTTATCGGTTAAGTTCGGTAATATCCATTTTTCAAATAGTTGTATCGAAATATAATTAAATTATATTCGTCGTTAATTCTAATACATAAAGAGATCATAAAAATAACATATATTAGAGCATTTAAATGATGATATATCTTTTAAATATAATATCACGTAAATGACATATTATTAAAATATCATAACGTTTAAATGTTATCAGTTGTCAATAGCCTTCTTCTTCAATTCAATTTTTATAGGCCTCAGCTGCCAGGGCTATTCGGCCTAGGGTAATTGTATTAGAGTTTTCTGTATGAAAGGTGGATATTTTAAAGGAAATTTATTTTTTTGTCACAGGATACACATCACACCATGTGACAATTTGTAATCTTCAGATTCAAAAAATTTTGACGCACTATTCTTGCTACTTAATAACTGGTCACATCAGACAATATTCACTTCACGATGACTGTTCTTGTTAAGGATTTTGACGGAAACATTCACACCTGACTGCCGATTCTGACGCCGCCATTTCAGTGTTGATACCACGGTGTCAGAATCGGAAGTGGTCAATAGCCTTGTTTTTATTGTCATTAATAGAAAAATGTAAAGAAGAAGATCAACAAGTGACTCCTAATTATAAGAAACCTACCCCAAATGACATTTTATTCTTGACAAGTGACAACGTTGGATGGAAAGTAACTGCGACATAACTGTTAAGACATAAAAACCCTGTAATGAAATGTACCTACTTTAAATGTCACTTTAACAATTCTTGACAAGTGACTGCATCATAAATACTAATGACAGATACCCTGGAATATTCAATAACTAAAATACTCCAAATGCCACTGTAATTATTGAAAAACAAGAATTAAGAAGTCTGGTCTTGTACAGGATTTTTCATTATATTTTGACCACTACTTGTTTTCATTATTCTTGTCAACAAGTAAAAGCTTTGTTGTTTTACTTCAACCTTTTCGACCACAAGCAACTTTTAATAAACAAACAACTGTTTCACTTGGAAATGTACTTTTTATAGTGATACGCTTCAAAATATAATGAAAAACCCTGTACATCAAAATTTTAAACTATTAGAAACATGGATAATACTTTGAAAAAAACATCCAAAAACACATATTCATTCAACACAACATCAATAACCTAATTTTTTTACCCGAAAGTAATGTTAACCGTTTTTAAAGACAATGGTTCCAAATAAATTTCGCTCAATTTCTTCAAGCTAAATATAGTGTTCAACCCGGTTAAACTTTTAACTTCCAATTCCTTGACAGTAACAAATTCGAAACTTAAGTCTTCATCGAACTTATCTAAATCACAAGTGTAGTTTGAACTGACCGTACATTCATAGCCTTGCCGATGAAGGACCATGAGGGCGCTGGACGAGGGGAATTGGGAGTAGACGGGATCTGGTTGGGTGCGGAGAGTTAATAGGTGCGTATCACAAGGGAACGGTCGGTTTATAAGTTTGATTGAATGGTTTATTGTTTGCTGGTGTTCGGAATCTACGATGAATATGCTGGCCGGGTAGTTGAGGGAGTTCGAAAGGTGGTTACTGTAGAGGGATGGTCTGGAGAAGGCTTCCTGTTTTGATGTGTCGGTAGCTTCTGTGGGCACGTTGAACGATCTGTAAAAAATATGTTTGATTTAGAAGCGAATTAAAATAATTAGTTTTGACTTACGGGTCGTTCTTTCATTATGTTCAAAAATATTTTTTCTTACAATTCTTGCATACATTTGTTTGTTTCTGAATTTCCACGGATGCTTTTACAAGAATATTGCAGTTTAATCCTGTAAAAAGACTAAAATGCGAGATTTCTGAGCTAAATTGTGGGAAGTTGTTTTTAATGTAACAAAAAAAGCTATAGTTCGGGACACACTGAGTCTGCAGTATGGCCAAACATAGGCACTGTATTTTTAATGGGAGACCGACACCAGCGTTGCCAAAGTCAGTAAAAAAACTCTCATTTACGTGCTTTTCTCCTCTATGTCATTATATATTGTTGTTTCTAATTTATAAAATCATCTGTGTGCAATTTGCTTGACTTACAGAGTTTAGAGATATTCCCATTGTATTAGATCTAAGAATAGAAATTAAGAAAGGCAGAAACACCAAAATTCAGTGAATGCAAAACTTAATTGTTGAGCACAATATATCCCCTGCAGTAATGTTACTGGAAATACTCGGATACAAGAAATGGATTTAAGTTACATCCAGGACAGTCACGAAGGTTCAAGTTCTGGCGCTGTCTCATAATTTTTGTCAATGACAACTAATTTGTCAAATTAGATTTTTTTAAACGTCTCTATGTGCTTGTCTTTTCATATGGTGCAACTGTCAGTACTTACTTCCAGTCAGTACCGTTTTCAGTATCACTTCTGTACTTTTATTTTTCTATTGATGGCAACGCTGGACCGATACACTGTGTTGCCGTCTTTTCGATAGCTGTCATAGGGTCGGTCCAGTAGTAGTCAATTGTTATTAGAGTATGTATTCTTGGTTGCATATATGAGGACCGTGTGTCCTTCTTATAGCTATCAGAAAGTCTAGATAGCACATCGTAAAAAAATGTTGAACCCCAATATGATGTCACTACTGACAAGACAGCATCGGCGCAAGTTTAGTAATAACCGTAAGATCGGCATTCGACGTCTATAATCGATTTTATTATCGGTTGTGTTGTTTTATTTTGATAAAAAACATTTGTAATTTGTTGTTACATTTTTACAGGATTTCCAAAATGTCTTGCTTTTTTGTACCTGGATGTAACAATGCATCTTACGGTAGAAGATACAAGGAAGGAATAAAATTTCAATATTTGTGTATTTACAAAATCAAATAATTTGTATGTTTTGTTGTAGCATCCCACCAAAAATTTTTAGGAAAGAATGGCTGATGGCCATAGGGAGGCCACCGGATCATTTTGTAAGTTAGTATAAACCCAGAAAATTAGGGGTATACTAGCTGAAACCGCAAATGTGTTATTGGCTCCTTGTTAGTGACCTCTTCTATTGTACAATTCTTCTAAAACAAGTTCCATGATCCTTTGAACTTGGCTGCACCGTACTGATAAAGACCAACAGTCAGAAAAACTTTTTCTATAGATATATCAAATTTCTTGAATTTTTTAACCTTCCTTGGTGAGAATTTATTTATTCATTCGAAGAATTATTTGAATGCATTAGTTTAGAAATTTAGTACATTTTTGGATATATACTGCCAAAAAAAAGGTATAAAAATCGTAATTTCTAAAAACTGTTGCGATAATTTATTCTATATCTTTTGGGCAGGTTTTTCTGATAAGAAATATACTTTTATAGTAAATTAATTAAAGCATCCTACACCAGACCATGTGGATTTTTAATTAAATTGCATGGTTCGTTATAGGATTTGATGTGTACCGTATTAATAGAAATTCAATTTCTGTTGATATGACATGCAGATTATAAAAAAATCGCCATACATTACCGTCTCGATGATTGGTGGGTGAGGTTTTCCTCACCTGTCAGTCAAATGGCTTCAGGAGTTAAAAGTCACTCGTAAGGGGGTGAATTAGGGAGAGTATTGTTATTATTATTATTATTATTATTATTATTATTAATAAGTTTCTGTAAAGATTAAATCGTTAAAACAATTTTTCACATCTATGTGATATGCTTTTATAAAGGGTTTAACCATAGGCCTCGAAGCACCTACACAAAGAGGCGCCCATGTTTCGTTATTGTTCACCCTGCATGAAGGTGGAATTTGAGTGAAAACGTACCAGTGTTTCACCCCCCGGGCAAACCATCGTAAGTTTGGGACGCCCATGTAACAGCTCATTGTGTGCGCCATGGTCTGTTTACATGGTAACTATAGCAATAACCGCTTTAAACATAAGACAGTGCCGTAGCGTTGGTGGTGTTTTGTCAAACATTAGCAACGTATGCATCGAAAGAATTCTTTTATTTTTTTTTTATTGCAAAAATTAAAAGACAAAGAAATGGATTTGCCTGGAACACTTCAGACATTTCGAAAAAGTACTATAGGCTTAGGATACAGGCATGCTTTTAAATCAGTACTGGTGATTTTAAAATGTATTGAAAGTACCTGTTGAGGGGTATTTAGATAAAAGTTTCAAAATGATATTTAATGTTTTTTTATTTAAAAATTACCATAATTTAAGTTAAGGGCTACGAAGCCAAGTTTAAGGCAATATAGAGTTCTTACGTTATTTAGGCCCAGAGTGATGTATTTTATTATTTAACCCCCGGGACATAGATAGTCCCATAATTATTTAAAACACGTGAATCGTGACATTCTTTTTATTAAGAAAACACTTAACGTGACAATATGATTTTTAATAAATTGAAGGTGATGAAAAACTGAAGACAATAAAAGATTATACTCATTGAAAGCTATAATATTCATAATTGATACAGACACAACATTTATCCATGGTAGCCATCTTCAACATCTTAATACCAAAGAACTGTGGTAAATATTGTAAAGTTTCCAGATATTTAAGTTGTATTAAATTGTTAATATATGTATAGCAGGAAAAGAACTGGTCCTAAAGCAGATCTTTGTGGAACTTCATGTTTTCATTTTTAACTTGTGTTCGATTTGATAAGTAACTTTTAAACCAATTTAGTGTTGAATTTCGGAAACCGTACATGTACAATTTTTCCAAAAGTGTGTTATGTCTAACGCAATCAAAGGCTTTCGAAAAGTCGCAAATGACAAGAATGGGTTAATATATTTAACCATGTTAAAATATGAAGATGTTTAAATTGAGAAAAAGCATGGACCATTTAAAATTTCTGCTAAACATTGGTTGATCCAAAGAAAGTAGTTGCGAAGATGAGGACAGTGTTGACAGTGAAATAAGTTCAGGAGTACAGGCGTTAGATTCGTCCGATAACAGGGATAACTCTTACTTATTTTATTCTTGTAAATAAAATATTTTTCTTCATTTTTAACAACCTTTAGAACAGAAATTATGAGAAGCTTTCTTGTCATTTTCCAGTTCTTTTAAACATCTATTGTTTTTTTTTTTTTTTTTTTTTTTTTTTTTTTTTTTTTTTTTTTTTTTTTTGTAATGGGATGAACATCTATTGTTTACGTTTAGAGAATGAATTAATATATTTAAAATGAAAAATACCTCCGTCTGCCACTGACCGATAGACTCTTGCCCTTATTGGTCTCTGTTTACTTTCGATGCTCCATATTTCACAGAAAATTCGAAACGTATATGCGAAAATATTAACTACATATTTAACAATAAAAAACGAGGATATAACTGGCAATAACTGAATATTAAATACGTAAAAGGACAGATAGATATGGAAACAATTAATCCAACTTTTTCTCCAATTACCATAACTTACCTGACAACGTCTTCTTTTTCATACGCATCATCACCATTATCGAATCTCTTTTGTTGCGGATTACGGTCGGTCTTTATATGCGATATATCTTCGATCAGTAACCAATATTTACTAATGGTTCTTCTATTGTCCACCAAACCCTCGCCCATACCCCTAGAGTCATCGTAAAGGGTCCTTCGGTCTAACATGACTTCCAAATAACCCGGTTGCCAACTGGCTGCTCCCTGAGCGTGGTTCAGTAATAAACTCAGTCGTACATTATTGTCTTGGATATATGTCATAGTTGTTGCTGGGAAGTAGTTGCCTTCTAAACCTAAGCGAGCATAAAAAGATTGATTGTACAACTTTATGCAAAAATTTGATAAATAATATGCAAAAAGAATAATAAAAGTTTACAACACAGTAAATTTTAAAGTTAAGGTATAAAAGGAAGATAATACGACATAAGGTTTATAATATAGGATAATTCAAAGGGAAATACATTTAAATAGTACTAGATTTGGCATTAGAAAGTTCTTACACTATCTGTTATTTCGATTAAACGTAGTAAACATAAAAGATAATATAAAAATCAATAAACAGTAACTAGGTTGCCTGTCAATACCCTGACTCTACGCCTCTTCATTATAAAATGTTTAATTCAATTTTTAAATGATTTCTTATAATTTGAATGTACATCATATAATTACCTAAGTTGACAATTTTTACTTGAACCTATTATCAAGTTCCAGCTTTAAACAGGTAAGTTCGTGTAGATAATGTTATTTAGATTCATTATAGCGTATATAATTCCCCTTCTGTTATTTAAATTAATCATAGCCTAAATTAGGTACCTATATATCCTCTACAACAACTATTATTACAATTTTTATAAAGTTAAATAGTAGTGGTCTCAAATTGGATCCTCGAAGAACACAATATAATAGTAGACAGCCATAAATTGTCAAACATGTTTTCAAAGCAATAAGCAAAATTGTCAAAGAAAATTCAAGCAGACAAAATATTATTCTTAAAAGGTAAAAAAAAACAATTATGGATGAAGGAACTGGAAAGATAAATATCAATAAAAGAAAGGTGTAGTTGAAATTAAATACTTTAGAAGAAAATAAACATAATGGACAAAATACGGAATGATCACACACAAAAAAAAAGAAAATTGTTAAGAAAATACAAATGAGATAGTTTATCAATGACATGTGTAAATGATGGAAAAAAAAAAAGAAATTATTAGGTTTGCACTTACCTATTCGTTCAATTTTGAGTCTCTTCTGCATATTAAATCCGTTAAGGTCCGAATAAAACTCTGGCGGTTCCCCGTTCTGAACATCAGAAATAACTCGCATGAAGAGTTCAGTCTCTCTATTTTTGGGCGGATTTTCGAAATCCACTGTATTCTCGATAGCAATTCCATTGGATAGAGTTGAATTGTCGACCAAAAACACCGTCACAGTGTGAATTAAGAACGGTCCGTAAATTACAGATATTTCTGTGGACAACGCACCTATAATAAAAAAAAAAACTTATATTAAAGCACATCAAAAAATATTTTTAGTTTTAGTCTTACCCGAGGTTATAATTATGCTTTTTTGTTCCTTATATTGAGTTAAAACGTCTTTTTCGTAGTCCCTTTCGTTCGGATCCGGCATGAAGAGGTAGGCCCCAGAATGGAACTGCGCACTTCTGTAAGCTGCGAACTGAATACCGCATTGCATTATTTTCGGATTGTGTTTTCTAGTGATGGTCTTCATAAAACCCGTACTGCCGCTGAACAGTACCTAGAAAAGAACAATCATATACAAGGTGTTTTTAAAATAGAATACAATAGAATAACATTTTTATTTATTCACTACGTTATATACAAACAGTACATTTGTAGCAATTCATAAATAAAAAAAAAATATGTTGCAAGAATAAAATATATGTTATTTTGACCCATTTTAAAGTTCATTTAATACCAACTCATTTTAAAACTTTACAACTTTAAAACTTGATTTTAACACTTTATTTTAAAAGTTTAATAATTTATTTTAATAGTTTATTTTATTTTAATAAGTACTTTATTTAAATACTTTGTTATAATACTTTATTTTTATTAGTACATTATTTTCTTGTAACGAAAATAGACTTTGATTTCCTGCACTAAAGTACGTATCCGTGGTATAATTTCATCACAACTATTAACATGTACAATATATAAAATATCTGCTTACTAAAATTTATAATTTGAGTTATTTATTACGTGGGTATTACAATATTATTAATTGTGATAATGAAGTATCGAAAGAAAAATATATTTATTGGTTAAAGACAGTTTTTCTGGCGTTTTATCATTTTAAATTTATATATGAAACAATAATTTGACAGTAACATAAGCACAGGTATGCATAATTAAAAATTATTTGAAACAAATAGTTAAGAATAGGAAAAAAATGAGAAAACAACTAGATTAAAGAAACACGAAATAAGACACTGTCTAATGTTTAATGGCGTAATAATTTAACATTAGAAAATATTTTTTAATCGTAGAATCCTTACCTTAAATTTGTTATTTTCCAACTGAATATCCCCAGCAGGAATGTCCTTAATACTAAATTTAGATTTTAAAGTCTCTCCTGCAACGTTATTTTCATTACTAACTATCGTCGTCGATTTATGGCAGTTCTTGCAATAAATAGTGGCCAATTTATCCTCGGCAGAAGCGTCGTAGATTATATTGAAAACCGTCACAGATAATTCCGGAAGTTTAGCTATAAAGACGATTTCGTATTCGTCGGCGGCGATGTAAAGTTTCGTGTAATCTGAAATGTCCCATACCGGATTGATTTGGTACAGAACGGGATTGCCGTCGTTGTCCGTTACTTTTACGTTGCTCGTATTAACTCTGACCTGAAAACAAAATAAAAAGTATATACACAGACCTGCTACAATGATTACGAACATAGACATAGTTAAAATTGATTATTAACCGTTCCCCCCCGTAAGAGCATGAATAGAAAATGGTTGCTGGTATGTTAATCGAACAGAAGTCGAGTCAGTTTGATTGTCCAATGAAAGCAAATATTGCAATTCAATGCCTGTGTGGTATTTTCCAAATGAGTAGCTGTAATAATTGGCATTATTATTTGAAAATTATAAAGAATTTACCAAAAATTCTAAAGGAAATGTCAACAATTAGGCTATTAATCTAGCCAACGGCTTGCATTGAATTAGAGAATTCAAGGTATAGCGTTGACATTTTTAAAAACAAAACTCTCACGTAACTTTTGGGTTTATATAGAGAGACTAGACAGAGTGAAGACTAGTCCAGAACTTTCGCCGGGACCACAAGTCCCGAAACAACGTAATGTGTATAGTAAAATTTTGTGCAGGGATTGTGTAATATAGGTAAATATCTTTAACTTATTTTTATAGTATTTTGTTCAACATTTTCCGGAGGGACGTTTCTGTGATATGGTCTTTTTAGTTTTTCTCATTTTCCTTTATTTTTATTGTTTGTTCTATGTTCGCGACTGCCATAACATGATAGTTGCACAAGAAATACTTCATGAAATTGTACTAGGTAATTTTGATAACTTTATATTAAGTGGCTGTCCTACAGACAACAGATTTGGCTCATATAGTTAGCAACGTTGGTTGTAACCGATATTACTATAACATTTTTTTTATCTTAAATACACGTCTGTCCCTTCATCTATTAAATATTTACGAATTCCACAAAAACTAATTTTTCATTATTATAAAAACAATTTCATCTGAAATATTTGACTTTGTTAATGGATACCCCTCCTAAGACAAACTTCTGGATTCACTAAATTTAATGCTTACCTGAATCAACTGTTCTTGTGCGGCAGCCAAAGAATTGTAAACCAATATTTTCCTAGACTGATTAAAACCAATTGGTCCGACTTGTATGGGCGTTTTTCTGGGTAATTTCTCGAACGATTCCCGTTCCAAATCGCTCAGAACCAGACTTTGATCGGGTTTGATGGGAATTTCGGGAAAAAGTAAACTTTGTAGAGCGTTTTGTTGGATGGTCACGGTATCGCGTATGCCTTCGAACAGTTTCAGTCCATAATCGCGCATGACGAACGATTTGCTGGTGCCTGTGATTGCATCGTGGTGTTGGAAGAGACCTGTTGAAAAATAACAATGGTAAATACGGTTTAGAAGGTTTAGTTGAAAAAGTAAATACATAAAAATTATATAAAAAACGATATTTTTAAGCATATTTTCTGTATATGATGCAGAAAATCAAAATATGACGTTTTCATTCAAAAATAAGTAGCTCGTGGTGGGATGTCAAAGTATTTAAGATAAAAACATTTTCCTGAAAGTTTATCGTTAAAAAATATAAAATAATATTGTAATGTGAGTAATTTGCAACCAGTGGCGGCTCGTGAGGGTGTTCACAGTGACAGATAGGTATCAGTACAGATGTATGAAAAAACTTTCAAAACTTTTAGAAAGTTTATAATATACCTTTCTAAAACACTGACAGTTTTTTACCTACATCTGTACTGGGATCTATATTCTGCTACTGTGAACCCCCAAAATTTTGGTCACAAGCCGCCCCTGTTTGAAACCAATCCGATCATGCTGCAGTCTTGTTCCTGTGCCTTGTTTAAGCCTTTTTACGACCCCACTATTTCTTAAAACCAGAAATATTTGATGAAAGGGACAAACCTCCTTTACCCAGGTATAGGGACGCCTATGGACACATATAGCCGGTAATAATCATTTATTCTGGAATGTACTAGTACGCTACAATGGAAAATGGAAAGTCAAAGAATTTGGTGAATGTTTCGGGACGTCTCCGCCAATTATATAAATGTTTTTAGTTATGGATAGTCAGTTAAAGTCGAGTCATAGCTGTGAGAACATCGATAAAGTACATGTAATATAAATTAGTATAAGTAAAATATTAAATAAATTAGAAGTGTGAAATAAAAATAAACTGTTCTAAATAAATACAGATTACAATACATTTTTTACATCAACAAAAATTTTAATCATTTTTACAAAAAAATATGCAAAAATCAAAGTATAAAGAAGAATTTTAAAAAATATTAATAAAGGACTTGTTGTTTCAAAAATTAAACTAACTATTAAACAATTACTAGATCTACAAACTGTAAAAAATATATTTTACAAAAAAGAAAAAATAAAAAAATAAATATAAAGTTGAAGAATTGATACAAAATTTCTGGACACTGTAAATTAAATGTGTATATTGACTCATACAGATAGGCTCACTTTTTTACTGATCATAGCCATATTTATCCGTATTTCTCATAATGTACTTAAGATTGCCATTTTAGTCGAGGCAATAAAGCACTAAAAAGGCCAAAAGTTCGAAATTTTTTAGACTAAGACGGATCGGAATGCGGTTTTTTGCATGGACGTGGACGTTATCCCCGAGAATGTCCTAACAAGATCGCCAAAAACAACCCGAAAATCATTGTGGGGGCATTTTTTGGGGCGTTGAAACCAAATTTCACGTCGAAAACGACACCCTAAACACCTGGTGCATTAGAACCTGGACGCGGACCTCATCTCCGTGAGTGTTCCTCACACAATCGAAAAAGACGAACAGAAAATCGTTATGGGGTTTTTTTTGCGATGGTGAATTCAAATGTGGCATTGGCGAACACCTCCTGACACCTGGTGCGCCCGAACTTGGACGTGGACGTCATCCACGAGAATTTTCCTGACAAAATTGCCAAAAACAACCCGAAAATCATTGTAGGGTCGTTTTTTGGGCGTTTAATCCAAATTTCACGTCTAAAACGATCCCCTGAACACCTAGTGCACCGGAACATAGGTCAGAACATCGACTCCAAGGGTTTTCTTCACATAATCGAAGAAGACAAACTCAATAATAATATATATAGTAGGGACAATTTTTCCAAAACATTTTTGGAAGTGAACGCAAAAAACCGCATTGCGATCCGTTTTAGTCTAAAAAATGTCGAGCTTTTTTGCTTCATTGCATCGACTATTTTCACTTACATCAATGTTAACCTTCGCCACACACGAATGACAAAATATTATTTTCTATGATCATCAAAAAACCAGAAATCACTTATACAACTACAAAAATAAATGCTACGCCACTTCAAAACCTTTAAAAAAAAATGTTTAAAAACTTCCAAGTTTAAAGCGTCAGTTTAATTTAAATGTTTATTAGTTTAAAAAAAAAAATGAGAAGATAATTGCCTCAAAGAATTAAGAAACATGTTTTTTTACTATTTGTTATTAAACAATACATATTTAAAAAAGATATTAAATGTAAAAACATAAAATAATCGACTAATTGGGTTAACTATCATTTATTTTCTATTAAATATATTTCCACATTAAAAATTAATTACTGTTTATCAATTTCAGGTCAAAATACCAACGAATAATTCCATTGCAACAAAAATATAGCTGACACAATATTAAATAAATCCTATACAAAACAATTATTTTAAAATGAAGTTCAATATAAGTTTTCTGAAAATTTCTTTAGTTATATATGATTTTCATATCATTATATATATTTCTTAACAGATGATGATGCATCAAGAAATCACTTCCCAAAAACTAAAATGTTTTACTTGAAAGCCACCAGAAATAAAGTATCGTCATTTTTTTAATTGGTCGTTATTTTTATAAATCATATTTGACCATCCAAAATATTTATTAAGCAGTGCAACCAGTCCGACTCTGTTATTTGTTGACCCCCATGGCTGCCGTTACCGCCGACACTAGCGATCGAGAATCGACTGGAATGTTTTTTGTACGCAGGCCGACATGTGGAGGAAGGATTTTACTATAAACTATTTTTAAAATAAAGAAACGTTACAATATAAAAGAATTGATTGGTTAAAACTATCAAATGCTTTAAATCCTTACCCGAAAATGTTCATTGTAGTAACGCGAAACACTTACCCATATTCCTCCTAGCCCTTATCAATTTTTCAAAATCTCTTTCTAGTATTTTCGAGTAGGACGCCAATTTGTTCTGCTTGGCCTTGTTTAGGGCGATTGTGTAAATAATTTCGGCGGCACGTAAGCTGTTCTCCAGTTCTCTGTCTAATAATTTCATGAACGGTCTGGTGGTGAAGTATCCGGACCAGTAGGCCGGCCGTCCTTCCGTGAAAATATCCGAGTAAACGAAGAAATCGCCTTTCAGGGTCGGGAACTGGGAAGAGCGTTTGACGATTTCCTGGAAAAACAAAAAAAAAAACAATTTTTACCAATGTCCTGAGGGGTATATAATTATTTAAGTAATGCATGGTGATAATTTAAAAATTTACAATGGTTATAACTGTGAAAAGTGAAAAGAAAAATCTAAAAAACATTTTATTTTGTATATAAGAGAAACTTTTAATTCAGATAAACATGCAATTCTAATGACAGAATCGAATTTGGCAGCCCCGAAAACCCCCCGAGTAACGATTTTTCCGAGTTTCCAGTCGTTACTATAATGGTGCAAGTAATGATGCAATTGAAAAATGCATTTTCCGGCCCAGAAGGCATTTTTCAAAAAATGGCTAAACCAAACGATATAGACTTTTTTCCTGGGACCTTCCTGAACACAATGCAGAAAACCGCATCTCGATATCTGCTGTCCCTAAAAATTTCCGCTATTTTTCCTAACTTCCCTGGACTATTATTTTAGGAAGTCATGCATTTTTTTTATACTTAAAACACGACTCCACGCGTACGAAACCGCGAGTAACAGTTACATAAAAGCTGTTCGTGGTGTCATTCTTTATTTTTGCCTTGTACAGGGTGGGCAAATTTCGATATTGCCTACATAATATCGTAATGGAGAAAAATATGAACTTTTTTTTATTATTCTCATTGAAAAATAAATTTTACCTTTAATTCATTTTCTAAACACTTTTTTATTACATAGGCCACATTCAATTTACCAGATGGACACAAAAGTTGAAAAAATGTTTTCCAACTTTTAGAGAAAATGTTATTCTTCATAAACATTTCTGCTTGTTTCAAAACTAATAATAATTTGAATTCTAATAAATTGGTATTGAAACAACCAAAAAACTCGTGTGTAACGTCCCTTTTTTGACTTATGTGATAACATTCACATTTGTCAAAAAAAGAGTAACTTTACATACTTTTATAAATTATTATTCTTATATAATCATAAATATACCTTAACATAGAAAAACGACCCTCTATAAAGTATCCCCAGATGCTTCGACTATGCCCAAAATCTAACAAGCTCACCACAGGATAGATGAAATCTTAAGTTTAAAATTTCCCTCAATCGATTTTTGAGTTATCGTATCATCGAGAAAATTGTTAAATCCATCGAAAACTCGAGGTCAAAAAAAATTATGATTCCTATACTTTCCCTACTATGGACAATATAAATAAAACAAATTAAAATAAAATGTCACTTACCTCAAAATACATGGAAGGCGTGCCAAACATAATTTCAGTTTTGTACTTCTGTCTGTTATCGTTGATGTAATTAATAAGTTTCATGTAATTAGTGTATTGTTGATCCCATTCTTCCTTTACGTTGTATCTAAAATCGTCCCCCAAAGGCATCAGAACGGTGTTGTGTGGAAAAAGAGAACCCGTTCGGGCGTATTGTTCCAGCAAAAGCTCCGCCTTTTCTTTGATGTTTTTGTTCGTTATCGCAACGGCTTTTAGAGAATACTCGGTATATTCGCCTTGTATCTAAAAAACAAGAGCGTTAAAAACTAAAAAGCTCCGTTTCCAAAGGACATAATTCCCACAATAATAAAGTGTAGTAATTAATCCCAGTAGCGTAACGAAGATATAAATATAATATAATTTTTGACCGAATTAACCAAGGAAATTTTTATTTATATAAAATTCTGCTACGGTCTGGAAATTATCCTTATTCGTAAATATAAGGCATTTTAAAAGATTGGTAGTCGGTTGAAAGAGCATCCATTAAAATTTTTGAGTCTAATAAACTTTAACGGTACTTGAGATTGTGATCTGTCAAAGTTTATCGGGCTACTAAATTATAAATAACGTTCTTGCAACCGGCTAGTCTCTTATCATCTTTTAAGGATAATGGTCGCCCATAGAAATCGGCCGTTATATGCAGGTGTTACTTTCAATATTATAGTTTTTGACTGTACAAGTGAAAACGAATAGGAGCAGATAAAAGCTAGAACTAGAACAAGAAAGAACAAGATTTGGTGTTCGTTCCCGAGTAGCAGAATTATAATTCTACTGCATCCTAAGGAAGTTGCCACCCAAAACCATATAGTGGTAACTAGATAGTGGCTAATTTTATTATTGGAGATATAAAAGTTAAATTTACCAGCTTAAATTCAATATTTACTTGTTTCTTAACATTTTCACTTTTTAATGAATAAACTAATTTATTTTTATAAATATATATGTTGAATCTTATTTTTTTTAAAGGTTACAACAATTTTTTTTACCTAAATTGTATATAAGTTTTAATTAATTTCCTTTTGATGAAGCTAGAGTTTATAATTCTCACTAGCTTTCTTAAAATAAAAAAAGAGAATAGTTGGCGCCCATCTCTCCTAGAAAATTATTATCCCCAAAGGTGTCTATTAGAAAAGCCAAATTCACGACTGAGAAAACTATATGGTCAAAGTGCTCATTTCTTTTTAATTTGAGCTAGTCAAAAGTGTTTTGAAATTAACATTTTATTGCAAAGTAATGCCGAGCTATTACAAATACAAATGCGCTCGCATTAATTTTAATATTGAAATCTGCTTATGATGTGTGTCTACAGATTGTAAAGACGTCTTAAGAAATCTTTGGTATCTAAACCACGTGGACTCATTGACTTGCCTACGAGTTTCCATAAAAATTAAACATATTTATAGGTTTTCATTCCATTAAAACCCCTAAAACTAACACAGGACAATAATGAAACTGTTAATGCTTCTAAATACGCCATTTTAGTGATGATGTAATTATGGTTCCACTGACAATTAAAGTTATAGTAGATTTTTTGAGTACGTTTTGTTCGTTTTATTTACCTAAATATCGTTTTCTAACTTCTATAAATATATTTCTAAAGTAAATAGATAACATGCATTAAATATACAATCGTTTAGTTACCAATTGCATACCTTTAAACTACTTTTTATGACCTGTAAACAATATTTAGAAATAAACTAAAAACAGTAGAAACGTATGTCAGTTTTTGTTAAAAGTTTGGTTAGAACTTAATCAGTGGAATCAAAATGACATCACACTAAACTGGCGTATAATGTGTAGTTTTTCTAGAAGCTCAGACCAAGGGCAGTTCCATGAGGGCCGTGATTAACATATTTATGAACCATGATCCTTTTATTAAAAAAGGAATTATTATTGGTAATCCCCCCTCCTGAAAATTCGCCCTTGGCTCAGTCTATGATAGATGTGAAAAGCGTTATCTGTTTAAAGCGTCTCCTCTACTCCGCCGGGAAGGTATACAACTTCGTTTTGCTGCCATTTTGGTAAACATTAGTCTTGACAGTTCATATTTGACAGTCGTGAAGTAGACACGTGGCAAATTTATTATTGAAAAATATTCGATAAACCAACGTGTTTTAATCGTTAAAACATTTTATCAAAATCAATCATCGATTACTGTGACGATGAGAAAGTTACGTGAAATTTTTGGGAGAAACAACGTGCCAACAAAACGCACTATTTATCGTGTAGTGAATGATTTCGAAGAAAGAGGGTCTGTAGGTGATAGGCCCAAGCATGGACCACAACCTACTGCAAGATCGGCTGAAAACATTACTGCTGCTCAAGAAAGTGTTCAAAACAATCCATCAACTTCAATTCGACACCGTGCTCAGGAGCTTGGTCTTCAAAGAACAACTTTGACCACAATTTTGCACAAAAATTTGCATTTGTTTCCATATAAGATTCAGTTGACATAAGAGCTTCTTCCACAGGACCATTTACGCCGCCGTACACATGCCAATAGGATGTTACAGCTCGCCCATGACAACCCCGATTTTCATGAAAAAATCATAATGAGTGACGAGGCACATTTTCATTTGAATGGATATGTGAATAAACAAAATAGTCGGTTCTGGGCAATGGAAAACCCTCAAATTATTCATCAGTCACCTTTGCATCCATTAAAAGTGACAGTCTGGTGTGCAATTTGGTCAGGAGGAATCATTGGACCTTACTTCTTTGAAAATGAAAACGGCGTAACGGTAACTGTGAATGAAGAGCGATATCGTGATATGATTGAAAACTTTTTAACGCCACAACTGCACGCTTTGGGCTTGATTAACATGTGGTATCAACAAGACGGTGCCATATCGCATACAGCCAGGATTACAATGGAATTACTGCGAGATCACTTTCCACAAGTTATTTCAAGAAATGGTGATGTTAATTGGCCTCCACGGTCGCCTGATTTGACTGCTCCGGACTTATTTTTGTGGGGATATCTGAAAAGCAAGGTTTATGCAAACAAACCAGAAACGCTTGAGTAACTCAAACAAAATATTCGTGATGAAATTAATGAAATACCACGTGAAATGTGTGAGAATGTAATGAAAAATGAGCTCAAAAGGGCTCGCATTTGTGAGGCTAACAGAGGCGGACATTTATCTGATATTGTATTCCATACATAATTGCCGACATTAAATAAAACATTAATCAATATAAGATCCATTCTCTTTCATTTAATCAAAAATTATAAACAAACAAAGTAGTATACCTTCCCGGCGGACACCCTGTATATGATTTTTGGTTTCCAAAACCTCGAGGTGTGTGAAAGAGAAAGAAATAAATTTAAATGAAATCTAGTACCCACATATGACACACAATTCAGTTTTACGACACTGTTATAGAATGCATACTGCACTCAACTCACAATAACGATTGTTCCCATCCTTGTAAAAGATTAAAAAAAAAAGAGAAATACGTTGATTATTTAAATTGATAAAACCCTTCGTTGGTTCATTGCTTAACACACTCAACGGTAGCATTTATTTATCTTTGATCATTTTGTTGTGATAGTGCCCCCTTAAGGTTGTTCAAGCCTGTTTGCAGATGAAATCTCTAAATCGCGTTTTTAACCACAACTCTTGAACATGTATTTACCTCGGTATTTTAAAATTTTATTTGCATTTTAAATTATTATTTTAAGCAGCCAATAAAAAAGAGTTAGCGTTCCTAACCAATCATTCTTTGTACTGATTAAACTACTTCTTCGTTTTTTATATAAAACTATTTACCTATTGAACTGATAATTATAAATACAATTTAATAACTTTTATTAAAGTTAAAACCTGATATGTCTAACACATGATTTTCCTATTTAGTTATTACAGGTTTTTTTCGGTTATTTTGTACAACCTATTGTAGCACCTCTGTAAATGTTTAGAGGATAAACTAAATATATACATTTTCCACATACTTCTAATTCGAAACACACTTTTAATACACTCAATTTTTAATAATTTAATATAATCTTTAAATGCCTAAACAATTCTAAATTAGATCACAATCCTTTTCATAGTTCAAGACACGGAAATCACAGTAAAAACATTAAAATTTTGCAAATATCAGTCCAGTAAAAGGAAAGTAATCTATTTTGTCGCCGCGCGCATGCCTGCCGCCTATCAAGTCCTTCTCTAACAGTAATACAGTGTTGCCTTATTTATTATTTATTTAGACTATAAAGGAAATTATATAACTATAAAATAAACAAATATTTATTAAAAAACGAAAATAAATCAAACTCAAATGTGATAGACGTAAAATAAAATGAATAAAACTCAAAGCCAATATTTTATGTGATATTGGCCTTGAGTTTTATTCATTTTATTTTTAAATATTTATTAGTTTAATAAACACTTCACAAATATGTTTATTTTGTCTTTTTATACAAAAAAATTCAAAAAATAATCTTTTTTAAATTAAAATTTTGTGTTTCCATATTCAAACAACTTTATTTCAAGCAAAACCACTTCAAACAAACCGATTTAAGATTTTTTAACGGGATAAGAGACACAATTTAGCCTATACGCTACTGCTATAACACTACTGCTTATTACCTTTCTAAAGTCGAAATTCAAACAAATGTACGGATGCGGTCCACAGCTGTGCTTAATGGAATAAATGTCGAAAGGTTGATTATGGGTTAGAATGGACCCATAAGGATCGGACGGCGACCAACTGGGAATCCACCGGAAGTCTCCGTACTGCTTCATGGCCAACCACTGTTTCCAAGCGTAATGGATTCTCTGGATAATAGTTCCTTTCAAACCGGAGGCAGCTAGAATGTATGGTACAGTACTGCCGTGTCCAAACGGGTCTATTGACCACCCCGTTTGAGGTTTTACGCCCAAATTGGTCCAAACCCATTGGTGACCTGAAATAAACGATAATAACGTATGATGGAAGAAAAACTAGCGATTTTTCTTCTATTCGATTAAATATTTTTGTTCAAATCCTACATGGGAGTTTGAATCTGATGATGTCATATTTTAATATCACGAAACGTCGCTCCATCCCTCACCTATTACAGTAGTCTGTCAGATTTAAACTTTTGAAAGTATTAATCATATACTTTTTATAAGCGTATAAGCTTTTTAATGTATTACATATTGTTACGTTATAAAATATATAATAAATAATTATCACTTAAATAAATTAATTTCAGACACCTAGTACATTGACAAATCTATTTACAAAACATTTTAATCATCAACAGTTTTTATAATCTAAACAATTAGGCAATATTAAAAAAAATATTTTGGAGAATTCAGAGGTAACACGGGGTCATTCTTGTATGGGACATCGGTCTGGGGTTACCGATCAGGTAAAAAGATAAAAGAAGAGTGTTGTGCCTTCTCAGTGAAAAGAAGGTGCTCTAAAAAATGTAAGTAGGTTTTTTCTGTTGTTATTATTATATAATTTTGTTTGTGGAAAATATATATTTTTTTAATTCAATTTATTGCAAATAGTATTACATACATAAAAATGTTTTACTTATTTCTAAAATATAATAATTATAAAATGTCCTACAGGGCTTATAACCACGCTAGGCTAAGTGGCCTCGTCTCATCTTTCTGTGTCCTCCTCTGTCCCGTTCTAGTAGTCAGTAGTAATAGATTTTAAGGTAAGTCATTTAAATAGAGATTTAATAATAATGGGCCCAGAATTGAACCTTGGGGAACCCCAGTAGTATTTACTATCTATGACGAATAATTCGTCGTTGAATATCGCCCACTTTATGATCTTATTTTCACCTAATTTACCCTTGATAGTTTTTAATTCCATACCTTCAATGAGTTGATTCACCATTGCAAACAAATGCACATTCGCCTCGTCCGTCATTACCCAACCTCCAGTGGTAATTTCCAATTTTCCAGAATTGACCAACTCCTTCAGCGCCCTCTGTTTGCTAGGATGAGCCTCTTCCCACCAAGCATTGAGGAACGAAATTTCGGACCACATGAAAGTGAAGTTTTTGTGTTGTTGCAATTTGGTGATCATGTTGTTCATGATTTGTCGGGAAGTAGAATGGAAGTAGTGTTCGAAGGTTTTCAACCAACCTGGGTCGTTGTGGGAGTGAGGAATGATGATAACCTGAAGAAGAAATAATAATAATGTTATTTTTGTAGATAAGTTTATCAGTTTTAACTAATAAAACCGGCTTAATACGAGTCAGACTCGTGCATGAAAGGTTCTGCACCATCGTCTAAGATCCGAAGTAAGGTCGACCTTCACCCATCTGTTTACCGGATGAAAGTTTGTTTTTATTAAATAAAATATATTTATAAATATACCGCAAATGGGTTGCCTAAGAAAATACGGTCCAGACTATTTATTTTCTTAAAGTATGAAAAAACGACACCCTGTAAAGTATTCCCCAGATGCTTCTACTATGCTCAAACTTTAATCAGTTCACCGCAGGATGGATTAAAGCTTAAGTTTAAAATTTGGTGTTTTTCTCTTCATCCGTTTCTGAGTTGTTTTCAAAATTCGAAATCTGACAAATATATTAGTTTTAATACTCATATAAAGAAAACTGTTTTGTTCCATCAGGACAATGCCCCTGCCCATTCGTCAGCTGTTGTTGCAGGAAAATTAGCCGAACTGCGTTACGATTTATTGCCTCATCCGCTATATTCACCTGATTTGGCACCCTCCGACTAATTTCTGTTCCCAAACTTAAAAACATGGCTTGGTGGAAAGCGATTTCAGACAAATGAGAAGGTGATGGCAAAGACAAACGCGTATCTTGGGGGATTTCCGAAAGATCATTTTTTGGATGGTTTAAAAATATTGGAAACTGTGTAGAGTTAAAAAGAGTTGATGTTGAAAAATAAAATATTTTTTTACAGTAAAGTAACTTTTTAATTAAAAACTCACTCTTCCGTCAAACAATGTGTGCATATTGTTATATTACAGGTATAAGACTTTTATGAATTGTCAACAAATTCTATTTCTAAAAATAAATATATCCGATAATTGTCAAAATTTAACGATTAATTAATTATGCAGCTATTAAAAGAAAAGAAAATTAGATCCACAAAATATCGTGTACTTTAATCTATTTCGATTAGCCTTAATTTCATCGTGATTTCACTTTTTAAACTACATTATTTCAGGAGCTAACAGCGGTCGTTCAGAAACGGTAAAAGTGGATCAATAACAGTACACTGAAATTCGATACGAAACTTTTCAATTAAAAAACAAAGACAAAAACAATCAGAATTGTAGGCCAAGAAATAGAGTAGATTTATCAGTAAAAAATTAGAATAAAGCTACAAATTGGTATGTCCTAATGATGATCAATTTTTATTTGCTCCCGGACTGGATTGCGTTTTTATGTCGTAAAAATGTCAAAAATATAAAATTACGTATCCAAATACAATAGTGTAATTTATACCATAGGCATACAAACACATATGACCCGTTTAATGACTGCTAAATTACTGTCGCTGCCGTCCGCTGCTGTTCACGTTTTTTTTAGCCGTTATAGTATCCATAGAGCTATAGACAATATTTCCAAGACTACTGTATCAATGAGCCCCCATTCCCCCTAAGTATTATAATGTTTAATTCAGAAATAGTTTACTTATTTAAACTTAAGCTTTATTGTAATGCATAGTTCTAATTTATCTTTATTCGACAACATTTATATTGAAACTTTATCAATGTTCTCATTGCTATGACTCGACTTTAACTGAACTACTTCCTGTGCAACATATGCTATTTATATATAAATTGGTGTATGCAATAGATTATTCTCGTTCTCAACATTTATTAAATATGTGTCTTCGGCAATTTCTTGAATTTACTTCTAGTACATTCCCGAATGAATGATTCATACTGGCTATTTATGAGCATAGGCGTCTCTGTGGTTGAGTAAAGGGGGTTTATACTTTTTATCAAATATTCCTCATTTTAAAAACAAGTGGGGTCGTAACAAGGCCCAAACAAAGCAGAGCATAAATAAATTACTATGGTCATCAGTGGAAGTGAATCATTTATTCTAGAAAATGATGAACGATAACGAAATTACAAATTCTGATGAATACGCAAGTACTAGATAATGGTGAAGGTGTCTATTCTTAGTCGAAAGACGTCTACACTCTACGCGAACAAGTCTGGAGCGCCACATTTTCATATAAAAAGTCCAAGTTTGTTGTTATAGTATAATACATATATCGTGCTGTTAAGATACATATTATAAAAGTAAATTAGTGTATAAGTAAATGAGATATCAATTATTATTGTATTGAGTATAAATAAATAAAATAATAAACTGTTTAAACAAATAATCGTTACATTATTTATTTTTTCTACACCCGTATTATAATAATGCACTTATATGCCCATAATCCGTTTCATAATGATACCCATTATGATACAGATTTTTCATTACGATACAGATTTTTAATCAATAGAAACCTACTATTTTTCAATCAAGCATGCTGTTTGACGTTTGTCCTAGGTTTCTATGTAATTGTTTTAGTTGTCAAAACGTATTAAATTTTCGTAGATAGCTAAACTTCGATAATTATAATATTAAAATGTCTCATATCAGCGATATAGAAGACTCTTCCACACATATCGGAGAAAGCAGAAAATACAGTACAAAATATTTTGCAGCAAAAATCTAGGGAAATACCAATACCCGAAGTAATACCATTAATTACAATTTTGTAGAATTTTTTATAGAAATACGAGTAATTACTGTTATTGTGTTCAATACCAATATAAATATAATATTTATAGGTCTTGATTATTTATCGGGTGTAGAAAAAATAGCGTATGCAACTCTCATGTAATGGTTATTAAAACACTCGCATAGACCATACGAAACTCGCCTTTGGCTCGTTTCGTATCCCGGTTAATGCTCGTGTATCAATAACCATCATTACATGATCGTTGCATAATATACTATTTTCGTTTAAATCGTCGATTCAATTCACTGAAGCAAGAGTTAAAAAAACAATTCCATTGTTATTTGGCTATGACAATATCGTAATGGGCACCTACTGCCTTTAACGAAGTGCTTTTTGTTCAAATAGTTTTAAATTCAAAGCACTGGCACTGCATCAGTTTTATTGTTACCAATGACAGTCGATTTTATTTTCGTGTTGACTGTTCACAGCTATCGCTGGATTATTTGCGATTGAAAATATATAGAGCTAATAGACAGGGGCGGATATTTTCCGTTTAAAAATAGTCTTTCAGTTGAAAGAATTATGATATAACGTCTTGTTGTTTGATCTTTTCGACCTAGCTTGCTTCAATTTAAACGTTTTTCGAAATTAGAGGAATTTGGATTGCTGCAACCTCGGCTGCAACCTTGGACCCAAACAGTAGCGTTTCAAGGGGGAAAGTTTCGAAGGTTTTTTTTTAACAACACAATTGGTTAATTTAGTTTTAAATCGGTGGTGGCTATGTAAGTCACTATATACCGGGTGATAATGAGACCAGGACAACGTTAATATGGGACAAACATACTGTACATAATTTCGAATACTTAAACAAAATGGCCAACTTCCGGTTTTACCGGAATTCATATTAAGTTAGATTTTTTTAAATGTATTTTTTATGCCTTTTTTTGGAATCTATGGTTCAAATTACATATGGGCAGTTCTCACCAAATGTTCATAAATCATATTTTAGTTTTTTTTTTTTAAATAAAGTTAAAATTATTGAAAATAATTTTGTGTATTCTCACCAGAAATTTATTCATTATCACCCCATGTCCATGGTTAATTAAACACACTAGAAAATATATTATTTACGTGCCTATTTTTATTTTTATATAGTAGTTTTTTTTTGATAATTTGGATATTCATGTTAATTACAATTTCGTAATATAATCAAAGTTTATTCGTAGTTAAACTTATGTCCAAATAAAAAAGGAATGAAGTGAAAATGGGAATAAACGTCACATTCCATAGGCGTACTTATAAGGTCACGGCCTATAAAATGGTATATACATTAAGTACGATAGTTTTTCTTCTAACGATAATGCTTTATGTCCAGCAGATCGTTTACACGTACTTGTGCTTGCAATATTTTTTAAAGCATTTGGCATTCTTATAATTGTAAAATTATAATATATACTAATACAAAATTCCGTATTAATTAAAATACATACGATACGACAATAAATAAATAAAATTATTTTGGGGTAAAACCTTTGTCTGATTTGAACCATATTCTAATCCCTAGCAGGATATTCTCTTATTAAATTCAATATAAGCTGAAAAATTTCGCTCCGAATTATTTGAAGAAATTTTTTCGAAAAAAATAAACAAATAGATTTGAATGTCATCACGTAAAATAGCGGCAATTCGTTACATTTAAAGTAGTGAGTAGTTTGTTACTCGACGGGCAAGCGGTACGGCGAATGAATAATAAAATATACCAACGCCTTTTTGCGAAAGGAAGTATGTCCGTGTCGATGGAAGGTGGTAATTTTAAATATTAAAGCTGAGATTTTGTCAGGTGTACCGATTTAAAGTTGTTTAATACATTTATGGCACAAAACGAAAGATTCTTATCTGGTAACTTTTCGTTTGGGGAAATCTTTATTTCCACTTAAATATAAACCATGTTTTCTTGACGAAAATTCACTACTGCGCTGGGTCAAATCAAACATCAATAGATTCCTTAAACGACATGCTATGAGAATACGTCAATCGGAAATAAGATATAGAGTGCTAGAACGTTGAAAATAAATTTTATTTAAGCTCATCCGCTCAACAAGAGCGACTTTTTTCCTCAAAGTTTTAATGCTCCCTGAAAAGGCATACTTTATAAGATGCCAATTTTGAGACAGTTATATTAATTTATGTATCTACTTTAAAGTTTAAATAAATATACTAACCATAATTTTTTTAGCAATTTTATATCTTTTTGTACAGTGATGTTAATTACATTTCAACAGTTGCAATGAAATCTAATATTAGTAACTGGTCTTTCCTAGTAAGCAAAGTTTGCTAGTCAAGAAAAATCGAATTTTTATTCTTTAATGTTTTTATCACACCTTTTTTAATTATTATTTCTAAAACACTGAATTTATGCTGTAATGTGAGCCATTTTCTACCAATCTGGTC